AAAGCGCGAGAATTATGAGGAAATTCGTATAAAACAATAATTAAAAAATTCTTCGAAATATTCGATGACTATGTTCAACAAAAGTCAACGCTTATTAAACGCTTTTCAATCGGATTATACTTTAGATTTAAAGGAATAGTCCTATCTTAGAGAAGCAAATTTCCAACAGTTGTGAAAGAAACATTCTGCTGGATATAGCCAATGTATAATTACAGCAATTATTGGATCTAATAAAGCGACTTAATAAACACCTACTATCGATATGTTTCTGAGCGAATGTAGTCCATAACATGAGATATGCCCACTTGCAGCTGGTCGCCGATCGGTGTAACCCACGGATTGAATTCCATTCGAAACACTGCTTTGTTACTCACTAGATCCAGGTTCCCTGTAATATGAATTATACAGTATATACGTTCTACTTAATTACTACTACATGCACATATTCTATCTACCTATCTCGGGAGGCAAAACCGTTAAACGATTTCCCTGAATATGCAGCTCCCTGAGACGTGTCAGCTCTCCGATCTCTTTCGGTAATTCGATCAGATCATTCTCCCTTAACACGAGCTGAAATGTTTCAATCGAGAGAGTCTCGACGAGAGAAACGGGACATTTTTTTATAAAGCTGTAAAACTACGAAAGCTCTAAAATCCTCTTACAATTTGAAGATTTTTCAACTGGCCGATTTCAGGCGGCAGATATTCGAAATCATTGTCGGCGAGATAGAGCGCTCTTAAGGTCTCTAAAGAAAAGACAGATTAATATGCAACTTTTGCGAAGAGGCATATTAGATGATCTAACAACCGTGACTGACCCATCATGAAGAAATTTCCGGGAAGGTTCTTTTCGCTGAGATTGTTATACGTTAAGTCCAACACCTCGAGGACCGGAAACGCGCCAAAGCCGCGAGGAAGCACGTCTAATCGATTCATTCTACCGGAAGTTAAATACTCTGATAAATTATCGTGGAATAAGGACATCCTGTAAAATGTAGATACTGACCCTGCATTCAGGATCCTCAACTTCGGCATTTGCGATAGAGATATAGGCAGCTCGGTGATGTGATTGTTGAAGAGATTCAATATCTCCAGGTTGACTAGATTGGCGAGACCCGGTGGCACCGCTGTACCGAAAACAACAATTGTTGCGATATAACAATTAAGTTATCGGACAATACAAATTGTGTTAAGCTTGAAGATACGCTCACCTTGAATTTTATTGTGACTTAGCGTCAGCCTTGTTACGTTAATCATATTCACTGAAACATGTAAAGGCTTTTGTAAACTTATCTTCAACTTGTAATGTACTTCGAGAATTTATTTTAGTGATGATTTTGATTCACAATTAATTATAGGTCCATTTTTTATATAGATGAAATAATGTACATTTTTTGAACTTAAAGTGAAATATAAGTATATGTTTATATATCTATATAATTACAAATCTAAAGTAAAAGTTATAAATACAAATATTACAAATTAGATGAATATTCGACAAATATATGTAAAAATAACCATTTAATGATTATATTGAATTTTGTAACTTCATCCTCAGATTCGTAAGAAGCACATAAACATATTCTTTTGCATGTATAATTCAAAAAAATCTGAAAAAATTCTATTCAAATTTTAAGAGATATTTTAACATTTCGAAATTATACTTTGGAGTAAATTATAATATAACTGCTTTCCCATTTTAGGAGACAGTCGACACAAGTATCGTTCTATCTTTGTTATTCATTGACATTGTCAAGAAGGATAGAATGACATATTAGGTCGATAATTTCCTAAAAGGAAAACAAGCAGCCTATTTTCTTGAAATTTTTATGATTTCACAAAGCGGAAAAAGCATCCTCTTTATGTTAAAATTTCAATACAGTAAGTTTAAAAATTCGCGTTCGCGCAACCTAAATTATATTATTTTTAATCGTCCGCACTATTTTACGTCAAACGCGAAGTGTCAAGTTTAAAAGGCGGGCGAGTAAGCGCGCGCGCATACGCGGAGTCGCCCACGTGATCTGATCCGCGCAGATGGCCGTAGTGCGGATCGCGGAGCGAGAGGCCGGAGAGGCCAGCGACAAGTTGCCTAATTTGGCGATCTCGCGATGACGCGCTCGCGAGGACGCTTGGATGAGACTCACGCAATCCCGGCATCTCCTCGAACGTTGCGATGCCTTTGTCCGCGAGGTCCAGCTCGGGATTCTGGATTTCCCGGGCTTCGTCCAGCACCTTCTTCGTCTTCGACATCTTCCCCGCAGGAATACACGATACTGGCGCGGTCTGATTCATTGCGCGCGCAATAGCCGTGCCAAGCACGGCACACAGGAGCCAGGAGTGAGGAGCGTTGGAGTATCGGACGTCGGCGTCACCCGTTATTAGTAGTGGTGCGACGAGTTTATGTGTTTATATCCTATTCCGTAATGCCCTGTCCCGCCTTGTCCCGTTCCCGTCGTTTTCAGCTCGTTAGATGGCGGTTCTTGTGCCACTCACTTCTATTTTATATTTTTCGAATTTTTATAAGAAAAAAATTTTTAAGTAACAAAACAAAGTAAACGTTGAATTGTTAAAAACTTTGGACTTTTACTCTTTTATTTTTCTTGATAATAAAATTTATCAATGATGCCCCATTCTTATATATACTTTTTAAAGCAGAATTTACTGCCCATACAGTACACTTTATCCAAGAGATATTTGAGAATATTTTTAGAACATTTAGAGGAATAGGAACGTTCACTAGATGTCTTTAGGACGTTCCTTGGAGATTTGTACTGTATGAATGTGAATTTTACTATAATGTATAATTCATAGTTTTACTTTTAAAAAAATTTTGAAGCAATGGTTAAACTTCGAAGAAAAACCGTCCTCTTAATTGAACTAGAAATATTAATAATTATTGGCATTATCACTTCCCGGTAAAAAATTTTTCATGCATGAATATATATAAATATGTATAAACATACATAAACACGCATAAATATTCATAAACATGTATAATTACATATGAAATATGTCCATATATGTTCATACATCCTTTTTTCTTTTATTAAAATTACTTTTTAGTGTAATAGAAATAATAATAGTAATGTGAAAACATTAAAAATAATTATAAAGGTAATTTTCTCACTATTTGTTTTAGAAAAAATCAAGTTTGAAGAAATGTAAAAAAATTATTTATGTATAATTATATATAAAATTATGCATAATTATGTATGAGCAATTTTTTTTATATTTTTCCAAACTTGTTTTTTTCTAAAACAAACAATGGAAAAATTATCCCTTTAATTTTTATGTTTTCACATTACTATTATTATTTCTAATACACTAAAAAGTAATTTTACAAAAGAAAGAAGGATGTATGGACATATTTCATATGTATAATTTACATGTTTATAAATATTTATGCGTGTTTATGTATGTTTATATATATTTATACATATTTATGCATGAAAAATTGTTTACCGGGTTAAATCTAAAATGCTTTATGAGTTGATAATTTCACGTAAAAGCAAATGTAATTTTTTAACTTTTTTGTTCTCTAGTTTTAGTATTCTACTAACAACTATTAGTATATATCTATGTTAATTCTATAAAGTTTGTGTAATTTTGTAAAGTCATTTCAAAAATATGAGAAAAATTGTTTTAATTAGTAAATATTCCATTTCAGCATTCCTTCAAAGTTACGGCATTTTTATTTATTTATATATATATAGCGTAAATTAAAAATTTTACGTTTTTCAAACATTTGTTTATAAAGTATAATCATTATGGGCCTTCTACAATAAGCCGCAAGTCAGAAGTTCTAAGCGATCCTAAGTCATAATCGAAGAAGTTGGCCAATAGCCAACTTGAACGACTTGGTTAAGACTAGTTAAGACTTCTGACGTTCTGACTTGCGGTTTATTATAGAAGGCCCATTATAAGTGATATCTAAAGTATCTAAAAAGTTAAAATGCCCTTAAATATAAGATTAGACAACTAAAAAACGCTTATATTAATTTGTTTGCTGGATGCTACAAAAGGCTTTAAAGCATTTTTTGATTAGTGAATTAATAAAATTCTTTTTTCCGATATTGATCAATCAAAAGCTTCGAAGCATTTTTGTGGCGTCAAATAGATCACACTCTCCTTTATCATGTATTATATACTTTACAGCTTGTTTCAAAAGATTATAGACAGTCGTGTGATTGAGCAGACAATTGACAATTGTATTAATTCCTAGTTATCTGTCAAATGTCAAATCATAGTGGAAAGAATATATATGCCATGCGTCAAATCAGACAATCAGACTGCATGCATCAAAGCAAGCAACGGGCAAAATCAAAACGGCAAAACGGCTAGGTATGCTTACCAAGCGATTGTATAGGGTAAACTCGGGTATGATGGCCATAGTTTTTTAAAGTGCAAAAACCATATATTTATTCTTGTTTCTTTTTAACAATATTTGGGGTATTACTTTCACTGAAGCTTAAAGTAACAAATACTATCGAAATTAAAGAGAAAATACTTAACAGAACTTTAATTTTATCAAAATATTACAAAGTATACATTGGCCGTCTCATCTGATTTGTAGGGAAAAGATAGCCATGATATTAAAAAAGATAGCCATAGTATTTATAAATAAATAGTGAAAATAAAAGTACTAATTATAGGTCACTTTGCAATTTATGTACTTTTATTGTGTATGTAATGTTGATTATGGCAGCTTAACTGTAATTTATTAGACATTATAACAGTTTTTAGCAGA